ATGATCGAAAATATAATGTAAAGGAGAAACTGACAAAAACACAATTATAGTAGGGAACCTAAATATCCCATTGTCAGTTATGGATAGATTATTCAAACAGAAAAATCAATAAGGAAATATCAACCATAATTGACACATTAAACCAATTGAACAAAATCAACTTAAATTGAAATAGAAAATTATGGTCCTCTAGACTGGAAGTCAGCAAACTTTTTCTGTAAAGGGTCAGATAGTAAATGTTTTAGGCTTTGCAGATCACACAGTCTCTGTTCAACTCGCTCAACTCTGCCTTTGAAGCATGAAAGCAGCCATAGATAATACATCAATATATGGGCATGACTGTGTGCCAATAAAACTTTATTTACAAAAACAGGAAGTTAGATTTAACCCAAGAGCTTTGTTCTCATCACTTTGAAAGTTTGGCTGAACGACATCCCTGAGACTCATGAGAAACAATAAAAATATAGACCCGGTTGGAAAACCTCTTAGAGTAATGGAGTCTGACCCTGAGCCTTGGGCAGGTTGTTTCATCTCAGCTCTGATGCTTTGAGATTCTGTCATATATGTTCGCATTTGCTCCCCATTCTGGTCCTAGTTGTATCTGAGCACCCACTAAATCCTGCCTAGCAACGAGGTTTGAGATGAAGAGCTCCATTTCTCAATTTTCTTTTCATTTATGAAAGTGAATGGCCCAAGCAATGAGCATTCAAACCTGAAGCAAGAACCAAATCTCTTAGTTTCACCCAAGGATCCAAAATGGACAGTGAAATTGCTATAAAAGTTTATTGCAGTCATGATCTGTGATAACGGCTGCAGGAAACACAAACAGGGACATTGAGTCATCATGCGTAACTCATAAAATCTGAGGCTTTATCTGAAGTGATTGTGCACATTTGAATAAGATATGTGATGCCAGGAACTTTTATAGAACAGAATGCTTCTCAGAACTCAATGAGGTAGAACTCAGGTGGAGCTAATAAAATTTAGAGGTGTACATGGAAGAATAATCAAATTTAAGTCTCAGAGCCCCAAAGGATGTGGCCGCAAGATAGCAACCATGGTCACGACCCCACACCACCGCTGCCTAATGGCCAGGGTCACACCTGGGCCCTGTACTTGAAATGCATTTTGGCTTTCTGTCCCATCAGTTTTACACACTCTGAATACCACATCCTCCCCAAGCCTTCCTAGCTGGTCCCTGGTTGCCATTCTTCTTACCCATCACAAACTATTCATGCCTCTCCATACACACAGCAAAATTGATTAATCTTTGTGAGCAATGTAAATCCCTGACTTCCTGTCTTTGTTAACGAACAATTCTTTTCTTTTATCCATGAACCCTGAATCATGTGCACCTTAATGTGAGCTCATGGCGGCTACAGCAACATCA